TCGTTTTGTAGTAACGTTTGAATCCTGTAGAAATCAAAGTGTTCATATGACCTTTGATGCTTATACCCGTCTCGTGATCAAAGACTGGTATGCATCCATGGATGGTTGCATGTTAACATGTCATCATGATAAAATAAAACCAAAAGCTAATAGAACCAACAAAATCGCTATGCAAATCATTAAACCACCATAGTCTCAGGTGCCGTTGCTGCTATGGTGGGAGGTCCACCCCCACATCCTCCTCCACAACAACCTCCCGCAGTCAAAGCTGATGCGTCATTGCTTGTAAGCTTGGAGCAAAAGTCCATATCCTCTTTGCTCACTGCCTCCTCTTTGGGTAGTCTTTGTCGTGCGGGCCAAATTTGCTCCCCTGCATCCTCTTCCCGCTTATGGTGCTCTGCGAGTAGCCCACGAACGACAGTCGGGAAGTCGACCGGCCCCTCTTCCGTCGGGTGGAGTTGGCCATTTGCAGAGACCCCTGTGTTGAGATTCTTTTGTGTTTCGACACAGCGATCTTTGTTTTCGGACATCATACTCTTATATATTTGGCTGATAGTTTCAAACTCGTCATCGCTGGAATTCTTGTTGCGGTAGACTTCATAGCGCATCGAGCATGTGGTGGGGCTCATAGGCACGAGTCGCTGCATAAAGAAGAGGTGCGGCCTGCGTACCCAATTAGCGTCAATCGGATTACATTCGAAGACAATTTCACTTACAAGACGGTCATAGCAGCATTGGGGAAATAGTAAGTGCTAGAAGTCTTCAGCCCATTTGCAACCTCCTCAGGTGTCGATTTTCCATCCTTGGTATCCACGGTGTATGAGCCCGGATTGGAAGTCGAGGGAGTGTAGAATTTGTTGTAGTTGTCTGCCAGGATCTTCCAGTTATAATCTCCACTCATCTCCCAGGCGTGGTCGAAGTTATAGTCCTCGAAATTAAACTCTTTGAAACGTGGCTGTAAGTCGACTCCTTGAAAGGCATCTTCCCACGAAATCTCGGGGCTCTCGCCGGCATCTAAATTGAGCCAGACAAACCCGTTGACATCAATATGAACGTGGATCGGAAGAAGACCATTTTTGCTCTTGTCGAACCCTTCCAGCTCTTGATACCCGGGTGCTTTGGCAAGTTTACCATTAAGGCCGTAGGACCATCCGTGATATTGACAAGAGAAAATCCGGGAAGTGCCGCCCTCTTCGGTAACCACGGGAAATGCACGGTGTCGACAGACGTTGTGGAAAGCATTGACATTGCCCTCGCGATCTTTTACCAAGATAAAAGCGTACCCGGCGATCTCGTATCGGAGCCAGTCGCCTGTTTTGGGGAAACGCAACTTGTGTGTAGTCAGAAGCCATTTACGACTGAATATGGCGCGTCGCTCAAGTTCATGTATATCCTGCGAAGAATACCACGAGGCAGGGAGAGGGTGAAGTGGGGGATTCTCGTTGGCGGGGGTGGGACCTCCCTCCGTTTCCCCAGGCCCGAAGTAATTCTTAAGCGTCGACATCGTGAAGGTCAAAGGACAAAGTTATGGGAAAGACGAATCAATATTTATTGTCTTGAAGCTCTGTCAATTCTATCATCTAGGGCGGAATGTGAGGTCCTTAATATAGGCATAGAGGATCTGGATCCCAGTGGCAGCTACCATGATCATGAGTCCATACTTCCCCATGAGGATATGCAATCTACAGCTTTCGACCGATCACAGGATCGGAGCGGAGAGTAAGCCGTGCATCGCCCGACCTGTTTTAAACACCTGATAGACTGTGCTGGGCCATGAAGATCAGAGAGGAATCGGTGGACGGGCGTAATTACCGCGCTGGGTGAACGCCACTCGGGTGGTCGGGCTTCCTACCGGGCTTGTGAAATCAAGATGTTCGGAGAGTATGAAGATAAAGGCTACTATGTACCTCGTGGTGTATCACTGTTACGAGGTTTCCACTCAAACTCCACAATTGGATATTCATATTTACCTAACTTGGTCAAAAAGGACGAATAGGCTGAAGGGTAATACCGTGTTCACTGTCTCCAACATATAAAACTTCCCCGCATAAGATTCCAGCCGATCACATGACCGGCTCATGAGTTTTTAAAGGAATATGCTCTCTTTTTCTCTGCAGATGCAACCTGGAAAGGTTCTTTTAGGAAATAACATTCCGAATGACGCTGTAGGAACTGAGTATTGAATAACAGAATTAAAGAATGTAGATTGTAGAGTTGATATGGGACAGTGAAAGATCCGGATTTTTGCCGAGTTGGTTCCAGGTAGAAGAACCCCGCACAGGACCACTTGGCCAACATCTTCTGCCGATCGGCGAGAAAGAGATAAGACTTTGTTTTTTTTGTTAAGGCAAATTGACCTATGATGAACTCAATGGGCGATAACTACACCATACACAAAGTTTCTTTAAAGCGCACCCGGCAAGCTTGTGGTCCTTGTCGGTAGGTGCCAAGCCCGATAAAGAAAAAATCCCGAGATCGCCAGGGTGTGTATGTACCGGTTTCTAATATGTGATCTGGATAGTCGGAAGAAGGCGCGATGCCCAGGCGAGAAGCCGACATGCTCGCTGTGTCACAGGCTAGGGCAAAGCTGCTCATACGGACCACAAGCATCCCATGTAAGGAGCCACTCAGTTTCGGCTCATGTGCAGAGCCAGGAGACGCAACACAGCACCAATGAGGTATTCATGCTTTCTATCCTAGTTGGGTCATTGGATTGGGTGTGAAATTTTGGGCTATGCTGAGTTTATCAGACCCAAGGGGATATCTCGAGCTCCGGGAGGCTGCAGCGTATCGAAGAAAGACTGGATATGATGGCACTTTTACTTCAGTATGCAGTAGACTTTATATCTATGCCCCAGAAGCCGCTAACCAAGAACTATTTCAAATCAGGGAGGGCTTACCAAGGTCTAATTCATTACGAGAATTATCAAGTAGTAACCACCTCAGTGATGATCGCGAGCTGCAAGAGGCTTCTTATGACGACTTCGAAATAATGGATTGCCCAGAGAATCATTTGCTGGACTCCCAAGAGTAGGTTTGAATTTTTCCTTCATTGGGAATCACAAAGATGCTAATGAAAAAACGAAACAGAAGTGGTCTTCCAGTTGCATTTATCGAGCAGGAAGTACAGACTTACCTTACCTACTTTCATGACCAGCCATATTGTCCTTTTTCAAAAAAGTGGTTATTGAGACAGACCAGCTCATTGCCACCGGAGGTCGCATTCCCATTACTGGCCCTCACTTCCCGTCTGCCTCGACGATCTCGCGGTCCTTTACACGAGAATATACCCGACGTGAAAGCATTCGCAGAGAAAGCTTGGGACCTCTTGTCGAATCAATACAAAGACGGCAATATGGGTCTTTCGTTTCTCCAGGGCACATTTCTCATGGCTCAGCTAGATTTTGCCGACGGAAAAGCGCATCGAGGGTATGCGTCTGTTTCCCTTGGATTGCGTGCGGTTCAATCCGTAGGGTTGAACAAAGAAATGAACTCGCATCTCTCGAATGACCCGGAGATTGAAACTAGAAAGCGCATTACTTGGGCCTTTTTTATGCTCGATCGCACTTATAGTGCTTCCCGAAATTATTCGCTGTCCCTCTCAGACAAGCAGTTCACACTTCCATTTCCTGCCCGCGAGACGGATGCACTTTCCGGTGATAATGGGTCACTAGCCCATGGGTCTTTGCATGATGGTCCTGGAAAACAAGGGCAGAAAGTTGATCATGGCATTCTCGTATGTCTCCTGAGGCTGTATTCTTTATGGGGAAAATCTACGGAGTATGTCTTTGAGTCCTTTACCGATAGCTCGCTACCTCCCTGGCAAACCGGATCAGCTCTCGCGATCCTCGAGTCAGAATGGTTGCAATTTGAAACCCATTTTGCAGATGCCCATCGATATATAAACGTGGATTTCAAAAGCCGCGCCCGGGAAACCCCACAGCCACGTACATACCTCTCGACTTGGATGTGTGTTCAATTCCTTTTTCATTCAATCCAGGGCCTGCTGCACCACCCATTTGTGATCATGACCAAGCTTCGCAACTTTAACGGAAATCTGTCTGCAACATTTCTGCAAAAGTCGTTTGAGACATCACTCCTCCACTCCCGATGGATAGTTCGATTTATAAAGGAAATGTCAGAGGTCAACTTTGAGACTTGTGATCCGTTTTTGGGATATTTGGCTGCGATCGCAGCAACAATTCAGCTCGAGCACACTGGTAGCAAAAATCCGCAAATTGCTCTTCTGCTCAATAAAGAATTTCGAATCCTTGTTGACTTTATGACGGAGCTGTCTGTGTATTGGGAAAGCATGAGCGTTCTGGTAGGTGTGCTAGCAAAATATGGAATTAAAGTGCTGATGATTTCTCTGTCAAGGTTAACAAAGTCAATGAACTTGCCGCTCGTCATCAGAATTATGGGTCACTCTATTATAACCAAGAGGGTTTCTCGGGCGCTTTATCCAAAATGCCAACCCCTTCGAATATGCCTAGAATGTCCGCAGAAGATGAGGGTCTCATGTGGGAAATCCTCGATTTTGGCTGCTCATCAGGAGGAGATGTGGCAAGGAGCTTCGGGAATCTAGCTATCCCCCAAGGCAGCCAAATCCAAGCAAATGAAGGGCCTCTCGCACAAAGCAGAATGTCGTCAAGGCCACAACGGGTAGGTCAGCAAAACAAGAATGATCAGAAAGGGCGCATGACATCAACCCTTCCAAACCTTGACGGAATATCTGAGTCTATGCACAAAGGTCCTTTGCCTGAGTGGCCATTTCAAACGAGAGGTGGCGGTGATATGATTGGGGCAGCATTGCCGGACATTCCAGACTGGATGATCTTGGGAGATTATATGGCAGAGCATTTGTGAGGTAATTTAAGGCAAGGGGTACGAGGGCTTCATAAGTTATTAACGTGGCCTTGGTTGTTCAAAAGTACACAGTGACTACTCCGAAGTGTCCCTGTCTATAACATGGTATTGCTTTGATAGTGCCCGTCACAACTTCAAATCTTGCTTGACCGGGACGAAGCAGCTTCTAATGCCGTGTCAAATGTGTCGAGCTCTTGAGCGGTCAACTCCCTACGCTCTGGTCCTCCTCGACTTCCATCTCCTGTGAATACCTCTCCCTGGAAGCGCTCACGGAATTGGGTAGGGAACTTCCATTTGTCAAGCAACTCCCGCGAAAGCTTGCGTTGGCTTCCTACAATGTATCTGCCGATGAGAGGCAGGTACTTGAAACCACTGGAGACAAGAATGTTAGTTTGGATGCGCTAGAAAGGTCCTTTGCCTGGCTCACTTACTGGCCGCTTCCTCCAGTAGCAATGAACAAGTTCTTATGCTCTGGGTGGAAATCAAAGATGAAATCACCGGTCGGAGTGTCGTTGTATGTAATTAGCCCGTGAAGCAACTGCTAAGCTGGGCGGCGCAGATGTGACCGAGGGGCCCGGGCGAGTATAACCGAACCTATGACAGGCGACTTTCAGATAGCCAGTTGGCTCATGCGGAGGGAAGGCAAAGAAGCCAGTGGAAAAGTTGAAGTAGATAGGGAGATCCCTGAGCTGGCTGATTTCGTCTGGGGTGAGTCGCAGATATCCCACAACCTGTCCCGCGGCGAGCATCGAGTTCCAAGCTGGAATGAGACTCGAAATCCATGCGCCAGTGGCGACGATGAATCGGTCGCCCTCAGCCCGTCCGTTTTTGGTACACACAGATTTGATTGTTCCGTCCGGTTGCTTTTCAAATTCTTCGAGCTGGCGGACCTGCGATGAAAGAAACGCCCACTGAAGCACAACTGGACACGAGACGAGCGCAAGCGAGACCTGCATCTGCTCATCCGGCGGATTTGTTGTAGAAACCGTCAAACCCAGGAGTGGCTAGCCGGCCAGTCAATTCGGGGAAATGCTGTTTCGCCTCTTCCACGCTCCCGACTGAAACCCATTCTTGGCCCATCTCAGTCAAGGCCCGCTTTGTCTTACAGCTATACTCCTGTGCTCGAGGCTGCACAAGCTGTTCTGGGGTGCCATCTTGACAAACCAATAGGCAGGGGGTTTGATGGAAGGCTTCTTGATAATACGGGGTCTTCCATAGATCAAACGCCTCTTTCGCAATCTTAGCGTAGATGGCATCTCCATAATCGAGTCGAATAATGTGAGAGATATCATTGCTAGATCCGTCTGGAACCGGAGGCACTAATCGGTCCAGGATGGTGACTGACTTGTAGCCTTCTTCCTTTAGTCTCAGCACAGTGCCGAGACCGAAGGCTCCAGCCCCAATAATGACGATTCATTAGTCTTTGTCCATTATAACTATCAAAGCTGAAATAGTAAGGTGTTATATGGTCATTGTAAAAGCAACTTTATTATATAGTCGACAGGGGGAACTCATGATCCGTCCCTCACGGTCCGTGAAGATATAGACCGGAGATCAAAATTCTGGAGCCTTTGATAGGAAAATAATTTCCTTGCTCGGAAATAGTAGACATCTACATGGATATTATGGATAATCCTAATGTGTGCTGTACATTCCAATGTTGTACATCGAGATGAGGGGAAGGACGGCCGGGTACGGTCCGGGTACGGTAGTCCACAAAGACCAAATGCGCGACTTTGTATCTGCTGACTCATCAGACGCTCTGCCTGCCCATCCACAGGTAGTCCACAGGTTGTCTATCCCATCTCAGATACCTTCAATGTTTACGGTACTATCATCCCATGTGTCACCATACCAACCTCACTTATATGTGGCTAGTAGTTTGAGTTCCACCCAGGTGAGATATGGGTGAGAATCACCCCTCAGCTGTCTTCCCCCTGAAACACGAGGTCTCTTGGCATCAGCACATACTCGGCCCAACGCACGGCCCAACTCCCGTTGGAAACAAGCCTTACTACATTCTCACGATGTCGCCTTGTTGCTAGTACTACTAAAAATATTAACAGGCAGCCTAAATAGGGGACAGGAACGGCACGTAATCTTGGCTAGCCGATGCCCTGTGCCAAATAGGTGGACTGGGATTCCCTTATCACTCCAGTCCATGTTGATGTTAGGCCGCTTTCACTATGGATCCCCTCAGCATCAACGGCAGCGTTATCGCTCTCCTCATTTCAACGATAGCCTCGGCATCAGCTGAAATACGCTACCTCACGGTTGAGATCAGTACCACTCGCGCTCTTCTTTCAAGCATCTCCAATATTGCCGGTGCAGATGAAACATGGAACAAGAGTTGGAATTGATGGCAACGGATGGTCCCATGCAAATGTTAGGTACACTTTTGTCAAAGTTGGAGCGCCGTTTGGACCTGGAAGTCAGAATAAAGGGTGAGCTAGGGCCGCTGAGGAAAAGGTTAACTTGGCCCTGGCGAGCCGATGACACACGGGAAATGGTGAGGATCGCAAGGGAGGCTAGAGGGTTGCTCGCTGGAGCTCTAGCCGTGGATCATTTGTGAGTACTTTTTCTTGTTACATACCTAGATATCCTCCAGTCGTTTTATTCCCGACCACAACCGCACAATCTCAATCAACACTTAGTCGTACTTGATCTTTTCTTTCAATGTTTCTAAAACATCTATAATTAGGACCATTTCGAAGGAAATTCGACAAGAGCCCAAACAGATCCATGAAGATTCTCAGAAAACATTGTTCAGACAAGATGGTTGGTCAATTGTTGACTGTACATGTTCGATAATCTTCCGAGGCTAACCTAACCCAACTAGTAAGCGAGCAACGGATGGTGTTCGAATGGCTATCAACCATCGATGCTGCTGCCCGTGCCAAACATGAGCGGGGCACTGGCGACTGGCTGCTTGGCTCAGAAGACTTTGATCTTTGGTTGACTGGTACGAGGGAGGTGATTTGGTTGCATGGGATTCCAGGCTCAGGGAAGACAGGTATGTCAGTTCAACTGCGACAAATAATCCTAGATCGGGCGTTGACGCTTCCAGTACATTGTTCAACAATTATTGATCATGTCCAAAGGATCTGCAAAAATAGCGAGAAGCCAGTGTCTTTCTGTATCTATTATTACCTTGACTTCAAAGATCGAAGACGGCAAACCTTCGATGGCTTTATCAGGTCAGCCCTTGCTCAGGTTTGCCAACAAAGCACGATCTTCCCACACGAGGTGATGAATCTATACGCAGAAAAAGTAAAAAGGGCCAGGATCCAAACACGGCGACTCTTGTTGAGACCCTCCTGATCCTTTTGAAACAAGTCGGAAAGACATATATTATCCTGACGCTTTGGACGAATGTCTAGCGCAGAAAGAGGTATTCGACCTAATTTTGAGAATCAAGGAGGGCCCCGAATAGTCGGCGAATATTATGGTTGCTAGCCGCATAGAGCAACAGATCCACACTGAGCTGCAGTATAGGGTTACTCAGGCGATTTCTCTTCATGGGCCACAAATGGATCATGATATCCAGACGTTGGTCCGCCATGTTCTCGCATCGGATCCCTTGTTAAGCAACCACCCAATCCACATAAAGAAAGAGATCGAACACGCCACTGTGAATGGAGCCCATGGAATGTACATCCTACAGACCTGATGTGAACTTCTTATCATTTCTGATCACGGTTAATGCAGGTTCCGACTGGCAGCATGCCAACTCGATGCCTTGCGTTCCTGTCTGTCCCCATCGGCCATGCAAAAAACGCTACGGTCCCTTCCTCAAACACTAGACAAGATATACGAGCGCGTTCTTTGCGAGATAGATGAAGAGGCCCGCTCTATCGCTTTCACAGCGTTGCAGTTTGTAGCAATATCATCGCACCCTGTTAACTTAGATTAGCTATCTGAGATGGTGGCTATCAAGCCTGGAGTCAGTGTTTACGTCGAAATTGATAGGCTCTTTGATCCTACAGATCTTTTGGCTGTATGTTTAAGTCTCGTTACCACTTCCCCGGCATTTTCTGTTCAATTGTCACACTACTCCGTCCGGGAATTCTTGATATTAGAGCGGATCTGCAGAGGACCAGCCAGTTACTTTGCTATAAAAGAGCCTGAAGCACACCTAGCAATCGCACGATGTTGTCTGACATACCTGCTGTCGTTTGATCGGCCAGTTATATCAGACAACTTTCACCCATCCACATATTCCTCCACCTCATTGGATGATTCCCTCGACCCGAGCTATCCGTTACTAGAGTACGCCGCGTTCGAATGGCATACCCATGTACAGCTCCTTCCTTCCGAATACCAGAGTCAAACTGAACCAATGATTCTTCGTCTTTTGGATCAAGATAATCTCGCCTTTCACCATTGGCTACCTATCTATCGCTCAGGCGAAGATGAAAATAGCTTTGGGAGTCCATTATGTCATGCCACGGAGTTGGGGTTATCCTCCATGGTTCGCATGTTTCTGGACACAGATGCCGATGTTAACTCTGGCGGTGGCATGTTTGGATCAGCGTTTGCAGGTGCCACCCTAGAGGGTCATACAGAGGTTGTTCGCATCTTGTTAGAGCATGGTGCAGATGTCAATATTCGGGGTGGCCTCTTCCATACGCCTCTACAGGCTGCTTGTGTGAAAAAAAGACTTGATGTGTTCAACCTGCTGCTTGGTCACGGCGCAGATATTAATATCACAGGGGGATACTATGGCTGTGCTCCCCAAGCAGCTGCCGCGAGAGGGTGGCCCGCAGCTGCCCTCCACCTTATCAAATCTGGCGCAGACGTCACTATAATGGCAGGTCAATTTGGTACAGGCTTGCAGGCTGCATCGCGGTATGGCCATGAAGAACTTGTCATGGGGCTTTTGGTAAGGGGCGCGAATCCGAATGCCGCTGGTGGCTACTATAACGCTGCCCTTCAAACAGCTGCGCGAGGTGGACATACTGGAATTATTCACATGTTGTTGGAACACGGAGCAAACGTGCACATGGAGAGGGGATTCTGCGGCAGTGCCCTACAGGCTGCCCAATCTCGGCAAAACCACGCCGCCATTGACATTCTTGAAGACCAACTCCGATTGAGTGGTGCAGATCAATCTCTTGTGCAAAGGTTCAAGAGACCACCTGAGGAAACTGGAGAGGATCGTGACAAGAGAGCAAAAATGAGAGAAGAAAGATGGATTTCTCTACAACAAACAGAAGCTAGCTAAATGCTATGTGTGGGCCTTCTATCACTTAAGCGCAACTACGAATGGATGCCGAGTTAATCTAAATCTCGAGTTTAAGAAGCCTAGGGTTTGTTTATCTATATATCCACGAACCGTCCGCAGGTATCCCATCGCTACCTCAAACCTTTGCCTGCTATTAAGTGTCGCTATTTTATATATGTTTTCTGTCTTCGTTCCTCTGAAACTCGATTGAATTTTCATCAAGGCCCGAAGGCCCGGATTGTCTTAATCTGATACCGGCCAAGACTTCACCTCACCTCTCGCTCTGGAGGCGGAGTTTAATTAACTCCGTTCACTCGGGCTGCTCGGCTTTGATAGAACGCCGACCATTTTATATATATACATGCGTGGATATGAAGATTTGGTGATTGGATTTAAACAGCTGTTCTTACAATATCATTCCTTCTACTCGTTAAATTCCATCTCCAAACAGAATGACCGAGTCTTCCAAGATTCTTCTACAGGGCGGTACTCTTTTACTACACGAAGCCAATGAGAGGGTGGTTTCGCGTCGGCTCGATCTCTTAATCGATGAAAACTCCATTCTCAAAATTGAGGAAAATATCGATGTGGATGAACAAAACGTCAAAATCATCGCCTGTGATGGTAAATTAGTGTCACCCGGCTTCGTCAATACCCACCATCACCTATGGCAAACCCAGTTAAAAGGCCAACACGGTAACCATACTCTGCTGGAATACCTACCATCTGGAAATTACATTGGATCGCTCTATTCACCCGAGGATGCCTTTTGGGGTGAGTTGAGTGGAGCAATGGAAGCTGTCGATGCTGGCACAACATCAGTGGTCGATCATTCAAGCCTTAATCTTGGCATCGAGTACCGTAAGAAGTCCATACCCTTTGCTTTTATCTTAAGTGATACTGAATTTCGCAGCCCCGACTTTGATCAATGCCTTGGCAACCTCTGGTCTGCGAGCTGTGTACTGTCAATGTGTCCCGAGGACGATAATAGAAGAAGATATTCTGAATGTTACAGATGACCATGCCCCCGAATCTGCACTCCGCGCCTGGAAAGAACTTGCAGCCATTGCTCCCTTTGCTGACGGTAGAGTTCATCTTGGCTTTGCTGTAGATAATCTCCATTTGCCTACCGGTCAATTACAGGAACTCTACACCGAGCTTCGATCAATGGGCGCAAAGATCATCACATCACACGGTGCTGCGGGAAAGGCCTTTGGTGATGCTCCTTCTGCCGTGCAACTTCTCAACAACGCTGGTTTACTTGGTTCAGATATTCTTATCTCGCATGCCAATTTTCCGAAGGATGGTGATGCTGGACTCTTGGCCACGCACGGCGCCTCTGTTTCTTCAACGCCAAACACAGAGCTCCAAATGGGATATCCACCTGTGGCGTTGATGCCTGAATTCCGACCACTTGCGAGCCTGGGAGTGGATTGTCATAGTTGGGGTTCCGGCTTTATGCCTGGCCAAATGCGTCTCTTACTTCAGCATGCCAGAACCGAGCGCTCACACAGCCTGGAGAAGGAAGGAAAGTGGAGCCGACATGTTGGACCTCTAGTGGAGGATGTTTTCAATCTGGGTACGATTGGTGGCGCTCGGTCAATGGGAATGGCTGGCCAAATTGGCCAGATAAAGGTTGGAGCCAAAGCAGACTTGATTATCTTTGATACAAAGAGTCCGTCAATGCTGGCGGTGGCCCAGGAGGACCCAGTTTCAGCTATTGTACTGCATTCCAGTGAGAGAGACGTCGAAACCGTTATCGTGGACGGTATCGTGAGAAAGGAAGGAGGTAAATTGCTGCCTGTTTCAATTGCCGACGTTCCTGCTTCTCCTCCACGCTCTATCCTGACCCATCCGCAGCTTACATGGGTTGACGTTATGAACGGGGTGTTGGATAGCCGGAGAAGGATCAAAGACAAAGCGCAAGGAATGGATTTCAAAGTGGCAGAAGAAAGGGTCATCGATGCGTTTTACATGAATCGAAGTACCATGCATGAGATGATCTAATGGAAAAACAATTGGGGTTTCTTAGGGTATTGTAGATAGGAATATCAATTAAGGCTTAGTTTTGCATTTCCCATAACAATGGCCGTCCAAGTGAGTCCAAGTGTCTTAGCAACATTAATCATAGGGTATCATATTATGTATATTCCATTACAAGTTATGTCTAATTCCAAAATAGTGTTCTAACATCTCCAATCGGTTTAATAGAAGGAATTGTCATTTGTTGTGGTAAGCCCACAGGAACAATATCAAGATCCTCGCATCTCGGAGCTATTCCATTGCATTGTTGCCTTTTTCATTGTACACTTGGGAATTAAAAACTCCGTCCCCTCCCCCCTCTCTTGTTTTTCCTTTCCCTCTTTAATTATTTTAGCCATGGAACGAGTCGTGATCGTCGGAGCAGGTTGGTAGCAGTTGATCAAATTGGACATTGGCTGACTTATTTAGGTCTTTACGGCCTCATCGCAGCCAAGACGTATCGACAACTTGTGGCATCTGACGAAAACATCAAAAGCACCGACACCGATGAAATCACTGAAATCCCTACCTGTTTTACTGAGAGCATCGATGGTTCCCCAGCGGCCTCCTCTGAAAGTCGCCTTCTTGTGATCGACTCTACCTCGGATATTGGGGGCACCTGGGCTGAGGAGCGCCTTTACCCAAATTTGTTGAGTCAGAACTCGTATGGACTTTATGAATTCAGTGACCTGCCTCTTTCGGACGTAGTTCCAGAGGAACATACCGACGATACACATAATCAGTTCATTGCAGGTTGGAAGATAAACCGATATCTCCGTGCATGGGTTGAGAAATGGCAGCTTGAAAAATACATACGATTGAACTGGACGGTAAGATACTCCCACTCTGTTCTATAAATGTAAACTCTCTGAATGATATCTAGGTCGACGACATAAGCCGCCTCGAAACCAAAGAGTGGAAGCTCAACATCAGCGTCTCCTCAACCCCGGGTCGACGCATCACCATTATCTGCGACAAGTTGGTCCTGGCTACAGGACTGACCTCGGTACCAAATATGCCAGACACAACGGGGCTATCAATGGCCTCCAATAACCCTGCTCCAGTTATTCATGCTAAGGATGTTGGAGGTTGGGCTCGAGAACACCTGGGATATCAGCCACTGAAAGCACCCGAGCCCGAGACTGTTAGCATTCCAGTCAAAAATTCCCCTTACCGACAACTACGATCGGTTGCTATTTATGGTGGTGCAAAATCATCCTTTGATCTAGTGCACTTCTTTGCGACTCTACATCGCAACGACTCAAAGCTGCACCTCAAGTCTACACAGAAAGATCTTGTCCAAGTAAATTGGATCATCCGTGACCAAGGTGTGGGGCCAGCGTGGATGGTGCCGCCGATGTCTCTCCTCCCAAATGGTGACACCGTTGCAAGTGACAAGGCTGCCAGCAGCCGACTAATCGCCCATCTCACCCCGTGCTGCTACGAGACTCCAAAACGTCTGTCTCTTGGATCCTCCGGGGGTCTTCACTGGGAGGGCTCATGGCTAGCGCGGTTATTCCATGGCAACCCAATAGGCCGATGGTGGATTCGTTGGCTCTGGCGATCGATTGATAAAGGCTTAGAGGACACAGCGCAATATGATTGGGATTCGAAGATGGAAAAGCTTCGCCCAGAGAACAGGTAAGTCCGATGAGATGTTATTTGGAATACTCAGTGGTTGATGAATTCCAGTGTTGTCTCGTGCGCATCCGGTATTGGTATCGCAAACCAAGAAGACCTCTGGGAAACAATTAGATCGCCCCAAGTCAACGTGTACCGATCAGCCATCACCGATATCGTCGCTACCAGGCCGGAGAAATCCACGGATTCATCCACAAAAGCTTCGGTGCACTTGGCAGACAGCAATTGTATTGAAGAAGTTGATCTGGTTATCCACGCGACCGGATATAAGCCAATAGTCCCGATTCGGTTTGAGCCTCCAAGTCTCCGTCTCGAACTGGGGCTGTCGGCCCTGGTGAACTTACGGGACGAGGATATTCGTGAGAATCGCGAAATCCCAGCGGAAACACCTGAAATAATCAATAGACCACTGGAAGCAACTGTAAATGGCCGCATCCAACACTGGGAAAATCTAGATCGACAGTCTGAGGTCATGGTCAAGAAGACTTTGAATGCGACGAGATGTGCTCTCGCAAATCGGAGTCCTCCCTCATGGGCTGAATCTCACAAGCTGATACCATATCGCCTGTTCCGCCGTATGGTTGCACCCGAATTAGTCGCACGAGGCGACCGTTCCTTTGCAACGCTCGGTGTTATTTTATCATCAACTATTGCTGTTGTTGCAGAGGTTCAAGCTCTTTGGGTGGCGGCATTTTTGATAGGAGGGCTCGACTCCCCAGTGGGCATCAATCCCACCCCGAACCAGGCTCTTTCGCTTGGAAATCTTTCGCTGGAGGCTATGGAGAATGTTATCTCCGAGGACGTGGCCCTGAGCTCATTGACGGGAACTAGCCTTGAAGTTGAGGCCATTCAGGTATGTTTGTTGCGTGAAACCACGAGGATGGTAATTGAACTAATGAATTAGTACAATGATATGCTCCTGCGCGATTTGGGACTGAATCCCCACCGACTCGGGGGTGGGCTCTACACCGAGCTGACTGGGGTGTACAGTCCTTCGGTGTATGCTGGAATTGTGGACGAGTGGAAGAGGGGTCGAGGGTTCGCAGAGAAGAAACCGTAGTTGCGCCGATTGTTAATTATTCAGCCTATTAATTTCCTGTTGCAAGTTGACTTATTATTAATAGCCAGTTTTGACTGCTCCTACATAAACAGTTCCTGTATGACCTCGTGACGGACGGGTGCATAAACAAGATGACAAAGCAGGTCAAGTGATCCATAGTCAGGTGACGGTGCTTGCGCTTTCCTAATTTGGATGCTTGGCACCTTCCCCATTGGAAACCAGCGAGCTCCTCTCGATGTCTCTCACAACCCTGCAGTCTTCTAATATGCTTCGATGAACCGACAAAAACAAACTCGGCTGACCCGATGTCGCACTGGGTGCATGCGATGTCGGGTTCGTCGGCGAAAATGTATGTTTTTCTGGATCTGTGGAACGTTCAAGCCTAATGGGCATTCAGGCGATGAAGGTAAACCGCGATGTCGGAACTGCATTGACCGGAACTTTCAATGCCAATACGGTCCGCGATTGACGTTTTTGGCGAAGAATGCACACACTGTTCAGGCGTCAGAGGTGGAAACACAATCTGCCGGCTATGATGCGATTCAAGTAGGTTTTCCGGTGACGATTGCAAGGCAGAGACCTGATCCATATATTTGTATATATATGTATAGTTCGTCACTGAAGAGACCCCAAAAGACTGCGATCAAACTGAAGATCATACGCTGGACGAAACATCGTCTCACATTGATACGACTCCACAACCACAGCAAACTGACACTAGCACACCTAGCGACGCTAGGCACGAAGACATGCCATTCTGGCCGGAGCCTACCCCCCATACCGCAGACGATGAGAATTATAGAATCCTCAATGACAAGGATGAATCGGCGGTTGCGGGGTTGTTAGCGCTTGGTATGAATGAACCCGATCTGGGGCCATCACCAACGAGAGTCGTCTTAAAGACTCCAATGATAACATCAAATCTGTTGTATCAGTCACCCTTGACTTTGCAAAGTATCCAACAACCACCAGGATCAAATCTCGAGACACCTTCACCCACCGAAATACAAGGTCTGCTACGACATTATCGTTATAAGGTAGCCTGCTGGGTGAGCTTTTCGAAACTACCGAGGGATGCACCATGCTGACTGCAGTAGTTGGACATATGTGATCCTGGTCAATCATTTGGAATCCAAGGTCTTCAGGTTGCGCTGGGCTCATCGCCTATCTGGAACTCCATTCTTGACCTGTCCGAAACTTCTTTCCGCCAGTTTCATCCACAAAAGCCACCCGGGGAGAAGCGAAATACACGCACTCGGCAGTCCGACTTAAATATGGAGACTGACATCACACACGTCGCACTGCTAAGCGTTATAGATCAAGTGAAACGTTGTATCTCGAATATCTCTGCTACGTGGAACACCGAAAGAGAGTGCGACCATAACCTCATGAGCGCTTTAACTTCCCACGCTGTGGGCAGAGATATTAATTCCGCGATTTTTTGGCTCTTTGTCAGGCTTGGTATGAGATCCAAAACAAAAGATATCTTTTTTCGATCACTATTGCTGACTTGTTCGCGCACCACAGATCTTGCGACAGCGTTGGCGACCGATAGCGACATGCGCGTGTCGCTTCCCCCGTCGTTCCCATACTTTACAGAAGTAGATATTGTGGCTGATCCATTTGAGATGGTCTTCTTCTACGCATACCGTCCTCTATGGCTCTGTGCTAGAGCGATCCAATTTGTACACAACGGAGATGTTTCTCCTCAGCTACCCCCCCTCCATACATGGACTCAACTGGTGGAAGAACTGCAACAATGGTATCGTGAGCGACCACAGGAATTTCAACCCATGCTGGAATTAGAGATGGATGATCAGTTAGCTGGGCCAGAAAGAAGTTTCCCGGTTGTTCTGTTTGCCAATGGAGCAGGCTTGTTTGGCAACCAGCTATACCATACGGCCATGTTGATCCTACTACACAATCGGCCACGCACTGCGCGCATCACCAGCTTCCATTCGGTGGCCATGTCGCCGTTGTGGCATGCGCAGCGGATATGCAGTATTGCTCTCCATAATGATAGTCGGGAATGCTGGGATCCATGTCTCCTGGCATCCTTTCTGCTGGCAGCTCGCCGGATGACACATGAATCGCAACAAGATGAAGTTGTACGTGGATTTGACCGCATACGTAGGGTGACAGGGTGGGACGCAAACAACAGCTTGCAGAGCCTGCGAGCCGAATGGTGTCTTCTTGATGGGACATAGTAAATTATGTCTTTGGTGCGATCATTTGAGTGGATACCGATACTCACTCTGTTACGGGAGACCATTCTCCATCAATATTCCAGTCAGAACGCGAGACCCGATATCCCCAGGCGAGTTCCAGGTCACGGATGCGCCAGCAGGCACCCCATCCAGTCTCGGCTTCGATATGCCGAATCAGGTCGATTACAATGGCGTGTTCCGATACATGGCTGAACAGCCGACCCGCAATCCATAGCGGCTGGATGGCGTTGTTTAGACATCCGTGGTGCGGATTGGCGAGCGAAATTCCGCAAATGCGCCTCGCGTGCCACAGCGCAGACATTGCAGGTGTTGGCTGCAGCTTGATAAATTTGGGCATCAAGTTTAGCAGCAAAATGCATGCCGTGTGGTATAGCTGGTTCGAGGATATAGCAGCCCATTGCAGAAAAAGGATATGGGGGAATGGTTTGGTCGTTGTTGTGTGGATTGGTAACAACTCCGGTGGTCGGTTTTCAAGCCAGTGCTGTAAATCGTTCCAGAGTCGCAGCCAGCGGAAATTGAAGGCCTCTCCGGTGCAGTCATTCTGAACGGCCAGCTCCAGAAACTGAGTACGATCAGCGACCAGTTCGCACGACTTTGCGCAGAGGTATACGGCATAATTGGCGTGCATGTCCGGAGACTGCGCAGCTTCGAAGAGCTGTGCAGCATCATCTTCGTGACATCCAGGGGCGAGCCATTTGCTAGGTCGAAGGAGAGTGCTCTGCGTCCCATCAGAGATCAAAGCACCACATAGATCTAGTTATTTTGAATCAGTGATACCCTTCGTAATTTTACCATGACTCTTACCCATGCGTGCGTAGCACCAAAACACAGCTTGTAGAAGGCCGCTGCTGAACCCATTCATTTCGAAGGAGTCAAAAAGTGCCGCACACCCCTCCAAATGACGGTGCCAATCCTGTGCGCGCGCAGACATCATCTCAAGACAGCAGAGTAAAACGCAGGCAGCGACAACTTTAGAATCGTGCATTTGCAACAATGGGCTCAGCAGACGAATCGCTTCCTGGTAAAGCTCCAGGCTGTCAAACGAGTCTTGAATCCCCTCTTTTCTTTCCATTTGTCGGGCGGATATCGCGAGGATCGCATTCAGTAAGGCGGGGAATGATCGGGCCAGTGCAGGAATCTGTACTCGGAAGGTACATTGCGAATCGAACATATCGAGCTGCGGTCGGGGATTAGCGATTGTTGAGAACATCACAGGCAATGTCACTTACCCATGGCGCCACCTGTCCAACATAGTTCTTCAAGTACTCAATGCGACGAATATTGGATAGCACTGGACGCGTTGATATTTTCTCCCTGTCGCGCAAGCGTGTGGTATCTTGTTCCTGGGTATCTGGACTCGGAGCCCGGGTCGGAACTGCAGACTGTGCGATATTGAAAAGCATGCATCGTAGCTCCTCCTGTGAGGCTAAGAAGCCTGGATCATGGGAGAATTCATCGCCCCAGCTGGTAGCACCCAATGGAGAAGTAAATGCAGGATCGTTGGAATTGGATGGAGTCGCGTCGGGTTGCGAGAAGTCGTTCATGTCGTAATGCGAGACATGCGATGGCTCTCCCAGTTCATAAGGAGTAAAATTGAGTTATCAAGTCATCAAGTCATCAAGTCCAGATTGTGAATACAAGAGTAATTGAGAAAATGCAAAGGGAAAAGGTCTTGAAGTTGAAGGTGAAGTGGGGAGAGATTGGGGTAATCGGGAGGAGACGTCGGCGACTTCCACTTCTCCTTGGATCCTAAAACACTTCAGGTGTCTTAGGATGTTTTTGACAAGCATTCCTTTATTCAACTCATGTTATTTGCAATATTCGCTCTAACTTCTCTAAATATCTATACAATTCAGGATCTCTTAGGATTCAAGAGTACTCATTAATCGACACTGCACCTCGACATGGGCACTCCATACAGCTTAAATCAACAGTCACATTCTCCAGGGCTTATCCTCGCTATGGAGTACTGCATACCCCGTACTCTGTATTCTGTACAGGGGAAATCTCTGCAAAGAAAGGGATATAAGCTTACAACGCAGTTGGCCATAACCCCTGGCACTTGCAGGGAAAACAGATGCAAGGGATAGAATCGGAGGGAAAAGACAGATAGCATCTCCTCGCAGGAAAGACTCATCGACCTTCCGTGTTAGACTTCCAGGCACTGCTAAGTATCTTATACCCTCGGGTCTAGTATTATTGGATCTCTACTTGTCATCTGCGTCATGTACGGTCTCAAACAGCTTTCCCTTCTAAGCTTGATGTTTCTCTCGGTATCGGCAGGGAAGAACCCTAAAAGAACCATTGTACGCATGTTCTTCCTTAGGTCTACGCTGGATTGCTAACAAGACCGTGCAGGTGGGCATTGAAACAGCCGACAAGAGCCGTGGTATTGATGTGCCATTGAATGATTGCCATGCGATCGAGGAAGAGTGAGACCTATTTCCAGCTACCATGCTTCTGCTCAGACTGACGAGTCACAGAGACGTTCTTACTGTGTCTTTGAAAAAGCCATGTCGTCTCTTCACGTAAGTTTGGTGACAATTAAGCAAGTCGACTCTCACTAACTGTAGTATAGCGGTCCTGACTGCACCGGGCACAACACATTCTTGAGCCCTGGCGAGCACTCTTCCAAGGACCCAATTCCTGTCATCGAGTCCATATTTTGCCAGCCATCATTTTGAGGAAATACAATGGTAAAGATAGAGGTTCGAACTCGGTGCCAGCATTGTGTTTGGTTGGAATTGGAATATAGTATCAAATCAAGCCTTGTATCGTTGAATATTATTTGCTTCGGTTTGCTATTCTCCTCCCTTAGATGGCACTAAACACGATTGTCGCAATGGAGTACCAAGTCCAGCAGCGCCCAGGTTCGGAATGACCGAAAGCAGCTTTCACATCTATAACGAAGCCTCCTGCTCATCGACCACCAACACCTTGATACTACCGTTTCGAGTGTCAGCGCAAAGCTGGAGCGCGTCATGAGCCTGTTCAAGAGGGAAGACATGCGAGACAAGCTTCTTCAGATCCAAGATGCCACCACTTATGCAGGCAATTGCTGGTGGCCAGGTGTCACGGTAGCGGTTGATGAACCGGAGATCAATCTAGGAGAATCAGCAACGAATAATCACACTGACAGGACACCAGTACAACTAACCTCCGCGAGAGAAATATGCATAAACGGTAGGTTGTTCATGATCGCTTTTCCTACCCCGATAACCATGACGGTGCCTCCCCGCCGTACAGTGTATGTCGCAGTGCACACACTGCTTTCCACGCCGGTACACTCGAGTATGGTTTCCGGGGCAACATGTTCGCCTCGGCCGAAGAGAGTACGAATGGCCTCTGCGTTTCCCTTTGAGTCCTTTGCACGGTCTACCTCATAGGTAATGCATGAGGGGACAAAATCCTTTGCAAAAGCCAGTCGAGAGGGCTCTAGATCTGTCACCACGATAGGGTGTGCCCCCGAGGCACGTGCTGCAGCTAAGGCTATCAGGCCAATGGGGCCTGCGCCGCATACCACTACACCACGGCCCAACGAAAGACTAGCTGACTTGACCCCGTGCATCACCACCGACAGTGGCTCGAGAAGTGCGCCTTCCGCAAAAGTGATGTTGTCCGGCAGCTTGTGGAGCCACTTCGCAGGGTGGTTCTTGTAACGCTGGATGGTACCTTCGTAAGGATAAACGCCGGCAAACTGGACATCCTCGCACAGGTTATAACGTCCCTCATCACAGAGGAAACAGCGTTCGCAGGGAACACCAGGTTCGACAGCAACTCGGTCGCCTAAGAAATTATCAGCTCGAAAAGTCTTCAAATGGAAATAAAGCTTGTCTACCTGGCTTCAAATTGTTGACCTCCTCGCCACATTGCAAAACGATGCCCGATGCTTCATGGCCAATGATGCAGTCGCCTTCAAATACCAACGATCCAATGCGCCCAGTCTTCCAGAAGTGAATATCCGACCCGCAAATTCCAGTTGCTTTGATATGAACTAATGCCTCGCCTGGTTTGGGGGCATAAACAGGCGTGTCGACCGATTTGAGCTGGTGGTCTGCGGTCACCTGCAATGATGGATTGGGATAGGAGACTTTGAGGGGAACGCGATCTCCCACTAACGTTCTCACGACCTGCCGGCCGTTTAGCTGATCTAGAAGTACCGGAGTCATTATGTGTTTTCTGTGCAACTTCATAAAAGTGGGCGATTTCCATTCTTTAAAGACGCCGCATGAGCCCTAAGAGTACTTGATCTAGTAAGTTGTGGCTCGAGATACCTGTTTTGGTGTGGATGGAGCTGTGAGCTTACCGCTGGAGGGTGGGGTCCTGGGGTATCTCCCGATTAGGAAATATTAAGCATCACCACTCGCAATATTTCAACGAGCTTTCCCTCCAGCTTTGAACATTTGGATTCCCTATTGCTCAGCTCTGTACGATTTTTATGATGGCTGTCGAATTTCAATGCAGCGGTGTCAATGATGCCCACAGCTCTGCAATGCCTATAGTCCACAAGCTGTCAAAGGACCATGACTTGGTATTGAAGACCTTTCGACTGTTGATTGCAGACCTCTGCCAGCAATTCAATGGCGGACATCCAGGGTATAGCCATCACGACATTATCTTTGTTTTGGTAAAAGCTGATTTGTGTGATTGTGTGCCAGTGGTGCTATCGGTATGGCTGCTATCGGTGTCGCGTTATGGAGATACGTTATGCATTACGCACCCCACACTCCAGGATTCTTCAACCGGGACCGCTTTGTCTTGTCAAATGGTTAGTTCTGCACATATCCTTCTAGTTTGATATGACTCTAGGAATGATGTATACTAAAAGAACCTCCTATAGGCCACACTTGTCTCTTCCAATACTCTTTCCTGCATCTTACAGGCTATAAGGCCATGACCTTTGAACAGCTCAGATCATACCATTCAGGTAACATAGATGCCCTATGCCCGGGGCATCCGGAGATTGAACATGAAGGAATTGAAGTGACAACTGGGCCATTGGGTCAGGGTATTGCGAATGCTGTTGGCCTGGCCATGGCGACGAAGAATCTCGCTGCCACCTACAACCGCCCCGGTTTCGATGTAGTAAGTAACCACACTTGGTGTATGATTGGCGATGCTTGCTTGCAGGAGGGTGTTGGTCTCGAGGCAATTTCACTGGCCGGACATTTTCGTCTAAACAATCTCACCGTCATCTACGATAATAACCAGATTACCTGTGATGGATCTGTCGACCTCACCAATACCGAGGATGTGAATACAAAGATGCGCGCTTGTGGCTGGGATGTGATTGAGGTCGCAGATGGCTGCTTCGATATCGAGGCCATTGTTCATGCATTGGAGCAAGCTCGCTCATCGAAGCAAAAGCCCACCTTCATTAATATCAAGACAGTCATCGGTGTGGACAGCAGCGTTGCTGGAACTGCAGTGGCTCACGGTGCTGCTTTTGGTGCCGAGAGTATCCGTAATATGAAGGTTTCCTACGGCTTCAACCCGGAGAAGCACTTTGTGGTTGGCGAATCCGTGCGCCAGTTCTTCCAGGGTATTCCTGAGCGTGGAGAGCAGTGGGTTCAAGAATGGGATCAGCTAGTAAAGAAATATACTGTCCAGCATCCTGATTTAGCGGCCGAGTTTATGGCTCGCGTGCGTGGCGAGCTTCCGGCTAACTGGCAAGAGTATATCCCAACCAGCTTCCCTGATGGACTCGCTGCCACCCGGACGGCATCTGGTTTAGTATTCAACCCGATTGCCAAAGAGGTCAACTCTTTCATGGTCGGTACCGCGGATCTCTCGCCATCCGTAAACATGATCTGGCCTGGCAAAGTCGACTTCCAGCACGTGAGTGAAAACAACAGACATCAGCATAACCCGGAGCAATTGCTAACCGCATCATTAGCCCGAACTCCGCACGGCCTGCGGCATCAATGGCACTTATTCTGGCCGCTACATTCATTATGGTGTTCGTGAGCACGCGATGGCTGCTATCTCTAACGGGCTAGCAGCGTACTCCCCAAATACCATCATCCCGGTCACATCGACGTTCTTCATGTTTTATCTGTATGCTGCACCTGCGGTCCGCATGGGTGCGTTGCAGCACCTCCAAATAATCCACGTCGCCACCCACGACTCCATTGGCATGGGCGAGGATGGACCGACCCACCAGCCTATTGAGTTGGCCAACCTGTATCGCGCGATGCCAAACCTCTTATACATCCGTCCTGGTGATAGCGAGGAGACGGCTGGTGCGTGGATTGCTGCTATTGGCGCCAAGCAGACCCCAAGTATCATTTCTACCTCTCGTCAAACCTTACCCCAACTCCCTCAGACGCGTCGTGATGGCGTAGCCCTCGGTGCATACGTCCTATCTGAATCTGAATCGGCTACTGTCACTTTGATCGGGGTTGGAGCTGAACTTTCGTTCGCGGTGGAGGTTGCTGAGCAACTAAAGGTGCAGAATGGTATTACCGCGCGCGTTATTAGCTTCCCTTGTCAGCGCCTTTTTGAGAAACAGTCGGTCGATTACAAGCGTAACACACTTCAACGACACCGGGGCATACCAGCTGTGGTGATTGAGCCCTATGCGCCAAATGGGTGGGAACGTTACGCAGATGCGGGCATCTGCATGACACGCTTTGGTCATAGTCTGCCAGGCAAGGCGGCATACAAGTTTTTCGGGTATGAGATTTCTATATTGACAACGAAGGTCGTCAGGTACTTGGAACGGCTCCGGGAAGATGAGCTGCTTCGGGGCGAGTATGTAGACCTGTGAACATGATATGTGATGTTTCGTGTCATTTTTCCCCGTAAAAAAGTCTTGTTATTTCATGAACTTTCAGAATTAGTTAAGAGTTGCATAAATTCTCCAATATTTCTTGTTCTAATTCTCAATCCGATTGTATATATAATCCACTTGCAGAGCAAACTAATTAGGAGATAGATAAGTATAATCAAGGTTGGGAGTCAACACTCTTCAGTGCTATACTTTTTATTTCTTTTTTTATTTCTGTTTTTCTTTTTCTCGTTCCTGTCGTTCAAGTTTTGTTGATCTGTTGTCCTTTATCCATCCATCCGTAAATTTTACCAGGTGACCCCGACCCAACTACCCTGCGACCGTCTGAAATTCGTACTTAGCTATTGACTTCCTGCTGACTTTACCCCTCAGCTTAGCTCATGTCAAGATGGGAGAGATGATCTAGAGAAGATCCAGAGACGTGACCTTTTCCGTGGGGAGCAAGGGAACAACCGTGCAGTCCGACTGATCACGCAACGCGCTAGGAGTATTCAAAACGAAGTATCACAGTCATGAGATATAGTCTGATCAGCAAACCAACGATTCAATAATATATAATTATGGATAAAATTATAAAAGGACGTCTGTAGGATTTCAAATAACCTTCAAGGCGAAGAAAAGGGGTTAATTCCAAGAGAAATCCTAGACCGATCTAAGGCATCCGATATATGAAGCATCCATGCTTGTAAAGATCCTGATAATGAGGTGTGGAACAGCGGGATATACTTCACTTGTGAAACAAATTATAACAAGTTATAATATTGCCAATTATCATTTTAATTGTGTTACTGAAGATAAATTATATCAGATGTCCCCAAAATGAGGGACTATCCCTTTTACGAAAATTAGGCCTGACCAATGACGGTGAGCTCGTGGCCCATGCCCCGACGCGGGGGATTCAGGGCGGGTTGATCGACAAGAAAATAGTGTGAGTGACCTCGCAGAATTGTGATATGCGGGCACATGCGATGAAAGGGGTTTCTAACAGGTTGTTGAAAGAAAAAGAGAAAAATTAGAGGAGAAAAAAAAAATATAAAAAAAACGAATGAAAGACTTATAAGCTCGTCAACTCGTCAAGTCAAGAGGTTGGGTTTGTTTTTATTTTCATCTCAAAACATGGCGCGAGCTCTACTCTTTGTTGCCCTAACTCTGGGTGCCACTGCGATGCCTGCTTCGTCGGGTATGAGCAACATTAAAAATATTGTGGTCTTGGTGCAGGAAAATTTGTCCTTTGACCACTTTGCTGGCGGTCTTGACTATGATTCCAGCATTGATGGCCCACAAAATCCTCAATTTTGCAATCCTGCCAATGTTTCCTCCCCAACCAACCAGGTTTGCGCCAACCCTAATGCGAAGAATATCGCATCGGACGACCCCAATCACAGTATTGCGGGTGGTAACATGCAGGTGTTTGGCACCTACCACCCCCTTGCAGGAGCCAAATCCTCCATGGATGGGTTCATCAGTGAGCAACGTGCCTCCTACCCAGAGGATGACCTAAACCGGGCAGCCGAGGCGATCAATTACTTCAGCCCAGACCATATCCCCGTCTTCAATACCATCGCTCAGAACTTTGTCTTGTTTGATCGCTGGTTTGCTGCAGTCCCGGGTCCTACAAACCCCAACCGTGCCTACTTGACCTCTGGCACTTCCCATGGCCATGGCCACAATGACGACGACTTTCTCAACTCTGCGCTGCCACAAAAGTCCATTTTTGAGCAGCTATCGGAAAAAGGAATCACTTGGAAAAATTACGAGAACTCGACACAGTCCAAACCCGCATTTTTGCCCGACGCTATGTTCTATGATTGGACCGCGAAGAATGGCAAAGACAACGTCGTTCCGATTTCCCAGTTTTATAGTGATGCTAAAGCTGGGGCACTACCACAATTTACTTGGATCAACCCCGAGTGCTGCTCCTATATGTCAATGCATCCTCCGTCCCCAATCAATATGGGCGAGAACTTCGTCAAGAGCATCTACGAGGCCGTACGCAATTCGCCGCAGTGGAATGAGACCCTCTTTATTTTGACCTGGGATGAACATGGTGGTTTTGCTGATCATGTTTCGCCTCCCGCTGACGTTCCCGCTGGCGACAGTCTGACCTATACGGAGACTGCTCGGGATGGTGAACAATACACTTTCCACTTTGATCGCCTCGGGATTCGGGTTCCTACTGTTTTGATCTCCCCGTGGGTTTCCAAGGGCCTGGTCCAACATAAACCCAGTGAGGGGAACGAGTTTACGCATACTTCTATCCTCAAATTTGTCTCTGAGCTTTGGGGACTAGATAGTCTATCCCCGCGCGTGGACTGGTCGCCTTCCTTTGGGAACCTGATCACGAACAGGTTCCGAAGTGATACACCCGAGAAGTTGCCA